ACTGGGAGAGAATATTAAGAGATGTGTAGCGGGACATCATGTCGAGACTCGCCTTTGGGGTCAATGCTGCAATGTAGGAGATAGGGAGAGGATAGAAGGTGAGTAATTGGTTGTCGTCGTCCGGGCTGAGGGGTGGAGGAAACCCTATATAAGGATTGAGGATTAATCGTTAGCATTAGGAGAGAAGGTCGAGAGCAAGCCATCGCTGGCCTTATTTTTGCCACATATTATTTATCAACTCATCTATGTGCCTCGTATGGTAGTCATCCATCGATCTTGATCATCGTCGAACTTGATAAGCATCAACAAATATTAATCTGCATGTTATTTGTGTGATCGCATGCGACAATTGACCTAATCACTCAAGCTTCTCTTGATTCATCTTTTAGCTTGGAATTTCATCCCATGAGTTGCATCATATTATTCATCATGCTTAGAGATGCATGTGATGAGTATGGCGATAATTTACCAAAATTTTATGTGATTTAGTGCGTGTGAAGCTTCAAATGCATGAAATTTTTGCCAACCAAAAAATACTTTTTGATTGAAGCTCTATCTCATAAATTAGAAAGTATGTGCCTAAATAATGGAGACGGTGGCAACGGTCGGATGATTTATTTAGTTATATCTTTTATTGGAGCTCCCACACCATTGCACTTCATTTTTTTCCTTGATTGAACCTTTTTTAAGAAAATGTTAAGGGGAACACCCAGACTTCTTAAGAGAAATAAACTGTTACAACTCAAAGTCTTAACAAAATAAATAAAGATAGATTACAACAGAAGAAAAATCAAGCCGAACAATCAACCATAAAAAAAAGGACACAATATGACACAAACTCTCTAAGGAAAAAGAGCTCCAAGAAGAACTAATGATGCCTTCAAAAAGAGAAGAAGATCAACGATGATAGCCAATAGGTCCAAAGACCCATGAACAACAACCAAAGCAAGTCAATAATGGCCACTAACCACTACCAAGAAGAAGAGTCCAACAACAAATAGAGAAGAATAACATCCAGCAGAAGAATATGAACTCTCCAGGATAGTCATATCAACTACAAAAGAACAAAATAAAAAATAGAGAAGAATAACATCCAGCAGAAGAATATGATAATAATAACATAGAATCATAAATAAGAACTTCGGCAGAAAAATAGAAAGGAAAGAACTAAAAAACCAAAAAGAAACAAGATCCCAATCAAACTCAGAAGAATGGTAAGAACAAAGATGAAAATAATAACATACCAAACAGACAAAAGAATATTGATCATCAAAAGATTCTAATAAGTATTAGAACTCCAAGAATAATTTTTCAAAATAATTTTAATAATTTATAACTTGTTATAGAGAGCAAAGAAATGATCTCCCTTTGTTTTAATGCCCGAGCAGGATTCACAAGAAATTTTATACATAAACCTAAAAAATAACTTTCGAGAATCACTGAAATAAATAACAATACGAGAATGATGAGAAAACACTGATTTTTAATTGAGAAATGCATTCATTATATACAATTTTCAGTACATCAAATTCAGATTTCCATCTGAAATAAATCCTATAAATGCTCATGACCAGGCACCAAGCTAACCAACTAAATCAACCAAGTCATTCAAACAAAGAAGATTCATATGGAAGCTTCTATTGGAATCCCTTCCATGAAGTTAGAATTTCCTGAAAAATCTCAATTATAAGCTCCCTATCAGCATCCTGAAGAAACTCACTAAACTCCTCACGAACTTCATTGATCTTCCCAAGGTTCACCAGATACTTCAAGCACCCAGCCTTGAGACCTCGGAGCTTATACAGATGTGCTACATGGAGTCTCTCAAGCACATTCTTCGCATCGATATCTTCCAAGAGGCTCTCATGGCAGACCTCCTTCAGGTCTGCAATGTCATACTTATCAGAGGCGGTGAGGAGTGCCAGCCGATGGGCGAGAAACTCTTCTGCGTTGAAGTTTCCATAGATGTAATTGAGCAGGACCTGGCAGGCGTCGAAGGACATATCAGAAATATTCACGGCGGAGAGCTGTTTCTCCTTGAGGCTGTGGGAGAACATGCTCTGGAAAACAGGGGACCTGGTGGCAAGGATGGCGCGGTGGGCGGCGATGGAGCCGTTGCTGGTGTTTATGGTGATGTCGGTGTGAATGCCATCGGTTAGCATTCGGCTGAGGGAGGTGAGAGCGGTGGAGAGGGAGTTTTTTTCAATGTGGGAACCGGACCAGATGGATGACGGCTCCCCGCCCTGTTTTGCATAGACCGAGTTAGAGAATAGAAGAAGCAGAAGAGAAGAGGATGAGTTTTGAAAATCTGTTTGTTGATATAATTTTTATATATTTTTTAAAAAAAATCAATTTTTTTAAATATATTTAACATACCTAAAAGATATTTTGAGTATTTTCAAAACTACTAAACAAATCAAGCATGCTTTAATTTAAATCAAAACATTAAAATAAAAATGAATAATAAAGAACAAAAGTGATCCCAAATGGCTTCCAAGTTTTTTCACTTGGTTCAAGAATTGATAAAAATCAACAAGCCTACTAACAAAGAGTGTTGGGTTTGGCTTGAGCTTGAATTGAGCCAAAGTATAGAATGACTCGAGGTAGCTTAAGATTATGATACGATCCGGAACAAAAAACAACAAAAAAATTGTAATACAAATGCGGTGAAACTCAAATGAGGGTTGTTTTTACTAATGCCAATGAAAGAAAATAAAATACAACATTGAGTTACCGTTCGAGAAGTAGATTGTGTCTCCATAAACTCTAGACGCCTCTAGGAACACCACTGGAAAAGAAAAATAGCAGCCAAACAAAACATAAAAACAAATCCTAGCCAATTAGCCCTCATAAAGACTCTCCAAAACTCCTTTCAAAACTTTCGCTCCAAAACCCCAATTGATTTCCCTCTTGCATAAGGTTTTCACATTGTTTCATAATCTGACAGGTGTTTCCATTTAATTAGTACCTCCTTTGCTCCAGCCATTCCTCAACGCATTCCTTCAACATCTAAGGGTTCCAAAATCACCTATATGTCTTCTGTCAGTGTCGGAGGTAGCAAAGACAAGGGTGTATAATCTTTGATAGCATGTCTTAGTTGCGGAACATGAAAAACTGGAAGTCATGTCGAAGATAGTGGTAATTTCAAACGGCCGACCACCGCCCCAATGCGTGTAGTAATCTCATAAGACCCAAAATATTGTGGAGAAAGTTTTTCGCTCCTCCACCCGGCCAATATCTTCTATCGATAAAGCCTCGACTTCAAGTAAATACATCCCCGCGGTCAAATTGTATCTCCATTCGATGTCTATCAATCTTCCTCTTCATGATTTGCCGAGCTCTCAGTAAATGAACCTTAAGCTCTGCCAATATACTGTCCATTTCCTCTAAGTACTAGTTGACATTGGATACCGGTATAGTGCTATGCCAATAATGTATCAAATGAAATAAATCCTGCCTATACAAAATATTGAAAGACGTGGTCTGCACCGCAGTATGGTATGAAGTATTATACCAATATTCGGCCCACACGATAAACCTAACCCAAAGTTTCGGAGTAATCCAACATAAAATAATGTGAGTATGTCTCCACTCTCCTGTTGACCACCTCCGTTTAGCCATCGATCTGAAGATAAGAAGTTGTGCTTCTCTTAAGGACTGTTCCTTGTCACCTGAACAACACCTTCAGTGAATTGGCCAAGGAATACCTTATCTCTATCTGATACAATAGAATTTCTCACTCCGTGCAAATGAACAACTTCTCATATGAATACTGCAGTGACCTAGACTGCAATGTAGAGGTGTCAAGATGGAATGAAATGTGAACTTGCTAAGGCAATCCACTACCACCAAGATCATTGTAAACCCTTTTGATCGTGACAACACCTCTACAAAATCCATTTTCAATTTTTCCAAAACCTTATTCAATAAAGCTAAGGGTTGTAGTAACCCTCCTTACGCCATGTTCAAATACTTATGTCATTGGCACGAATTGCACCTTGACAAAATGTCCTCTACGTCTCTGTGCATCTCCACCTAGTAAACCTTGTCAATATACAATTGCATGTCTTTTGTAACCCTGAATGTCCCCAATTGCACTATGATGAAACTTCAGCAATAATTTTGGGATGTACATTAATGTCCTCGACAACACAAATCACCCATCGTAGAGTACCTGCTACCCCTTCAATGCATATCATAGATGATTGCTCTGATCATGTAGTATCTCTGACCGTATTTTTCCTCGCCCTTCATCCTACTAACTCTCCCGTGTCAGGGCCTACCAATCTAGGATCGAGGGTAGCAATAAGGCCGTCAGCTGGGGATCCTCCACCTTCCTCTACAATACACCGTGGCTTTATGCTCCAATCATGGCTGGTACTTATCTCAAAATCATATCCTAGTAACTTGGATAGCTACCTTTGATGCTCCACCGTCACCATCCTCTGCTCCAAAAGATACTTTAGGCTCCTCTGATCTGTTATATCCAGAAAGTATCGTCCCAACAGTTAAAGCCGCCACTTTCGGATGACCAAGACAACAACCATCAACTTCTGCTCGTATGTTGACTTGAGCCTCTCTCTAGCTGTGAGCATCTGGCTGAAGTAAGCAATCGACTGCTTGTCTTGCATAAGTACCACTCCCAATTCATACCCAGACACATTCGTTTCTCGCATAAAGAGTTTACTGAAATATGGAAGTATCAGTACTGAAACAACAGTCATATCTCTTTAGATATTCAAATGATTATTTTTTTGCTCACCCCCACTTGAAATTGTCTTTCTTCAACTATTTTGTTTATGGCTCGGCTATCGTGTTGTACCACCTCAAGTATTTCCGATAGTACATGGTGAGACCCAAAAAATCCCCTCAAATACTTCAAACCCTTTGGTAAAGGTCAGTCCACGATAGCTTAAATTTTGGATTGATCCACTACTACTCCTAGTAGGGCCATCACTTGCCCCGAGTACTCCACATGTACTGTGCAAAGGAACATTTCTTGAGGTTGGGGTACAACTGTTACTCCCTCAACTCCAAGACTATCCTCAGGTGTCCAACATGCTCAACCTTTGTATGGCTACAGACCAGAATGTCATCGAAGAAGACCAAGACAAATTTCCTGAGGGAAGGCTGAAACCCCAATTCATGAGAGATTGAAATGTGGTTGGAGCGTTGGTGAGGCCAAATGATATTACCAAGAACTTGTACCGTCTTTCATGTATCATGAACATTTTCTTGTGCACATCAACTAGGCACATCCTAATCTGATGATATCCAGACTTCAATCAATCTTCGAGAAAATGATTGCCCATAAAACTCATTTAGCAGCTCATCAATCACAGGAATAGGAAATTTGTCCAAGATAGTTTCATTGTTCAATGCTCAGTAATCTACAAAAAATTGTGAGTTACAATCTTCTTTCTTCACCAAAAGAACTTGACTGGAAAAGGGGCTCACATCTGGTCTAATAATCTCGACTTTGAACATCTCTCCCATATCAACTTAGCTATCTCATCTTTTAGAATAAAAAAAATACCTGTATGGTCGGACACTGATAAGAGGGACACCCTTCTTTTATGTAATGACATGTCTGTGCTCCCTCGGGGGCGGTAACTCACTCATCTCTTGAAAGATGTCAGTAAATTGTTGTAGAAGCTATTGAACCCCCTCAAAAAATTATGTCGACTCAGAAACTCTGATCTCCTCGATGCTCTGAAACTTCTACCAAATAGTCTAATCTTGATCCCCATATAGCATTGACCATAATTTTGAGTGAGACCATGGTTCTACATAAACCTGCATCTCCTCTCAGCACCACCTTCCAACCCTCCACCTGAAACTCCACTCAACAAAAGTGAAACATAACCAAGAAAATAAATAAGCGTAAAAAAAAAAAATAATAGACTAACAGTCATGCATATTTCACAAAAAGTAAAAAAGAAATGAAGCTTGGAATGATTAGATCAACACACATTCGTCATGAAATCAAAAGATTCAAATCATTCTTTATGATTTATAATAAAAAAGTGGCAAAAGATTAAAAAAATACACTTTAACCGGATGACCAGTTCGACCGTTGGATCCAACTGGTTGACCAATTTCGATCATCAGTTCCAGTTGGTTCTTTCTGGAATGATGTAGAGCCAATTTTCAGCTCAACCAGAACCGTACCACTGGCCAGTTCAGTCCTGCACTTAAAAAGTTGGTTTCCACTCCTCTCGGAGTCCTAGAAAAAAAGCTCTTGGTGGCAGATGCTCTCCTCCTCATTATCCTCTAATTCTATTTCTTTCCCTTTCGATTTGACGAAGGATTATTTGATTAACCATTGGTTAAGGTTTGTAATCTGAGTGGTCGACAGGGTCTTGGATTGCATCTCGATGAGTCCCTTCAAAATCTCTCCAATTTCTTCCATGCTCTAGTATCGACCTTCTATTCGGCTCTCTATGAAAGAAAATCTCTCCCCATGGTGGTGAACCTTTCTTCCATTCTTGATCCGATTTACCGTGCTCCTCATTCTAACACATTGACTTTTTTTTATAGTCATTCCTCCAAGATCTCGCTCTGATTCCAATTTGATATGATACAAAACCAAAAACAACGAACAAACAATGAATAAATTACAACAAAAATGTTATCGATAGGGTCTTGGATTGCATCTTGATGAGTCCCATCAAAATCTATCCAATTTCTTCCATGCTCTCGTATCGACTTTCTATTCGGCTCTCTATGGAAGAAAAACTCTCCTCCATGGTGGCGAACCTTTCTTCCATTCTCAATCCGATTTACCCTGCTCCTCATTCTAACATATTGACTTTTTTTTGTAGTCATTCCTTCAAGATCTCACTCTGATTTCAATTTGATACTATACAAAACCAAAAACAACGAACAAACAATGAATAAATTACAACAGAAATGTTGGGAAACTCATATGAGGGCTGATTTTACTAATACTAATGAAAACAAACAAGATACAACGATGATCTACCATTCAAGAGGCAGATCGTCACTCAACAAACCCTAGACGCAGTTAGAAACACCACTCAAAAAGAAAAACTGCTATCAAACAAAACATAATAACAAACTCTGACCAATTAACCCTCATAAATACTCTCTAAGACGCCTTTCAAATTTTCCTTCCTCTTGTATGTGATTAGCGGCTATTTGGGCCTCACCCGGGCATTTAAATTGTCTTCAACTACTCCTAGATATTCCACCCCCCTAGAATGGGCGATTAACTTGGCCAAACCGCTAGCTAGGTTGGCCGGATCTGGTCAATCCGAACATGTCCTTCCCGTAATGATTCGTCTGCAAGGTTGAAGATCTCATCGGCCCTCCCGTTCGCAGGAGTCGGAGTAGCAGACATATCACATTGGATGAAAATGCATATGCATATATGTATGAATGCACATATGCCTATATTTGTGTTGATATTTATTTTAATGAATATAAATTTATCCACGTCAACAAGCATATTAACAAGCAAACCTGAAATTTATCAAAATACAAATACATGTAATCATGTATGAGTGTAAGAATACATAAATATTTATATTTATATCGATCAATATATATGTATTTACACATCGATATATATGTACTAATTATGTCTAGGTGCTTAGTTGTAGATTGGACTAATAATTTGTAGCAGAAGATTGAACTTTGGTTCGAAATGAACAAATTTCCGGCTTTAATTGAAAAGAAAAGGCCATTGATGGCTCGAATCGGGAATAAGCTTTGCTAATCTATGACAAACGTAGCTTTGCTCGGCTCAAATATAAGGAGCTAGGCATGGCTCAAATGGAGATTGGGTTGGATGGCTTTTGAGGTGATCTTAAACTATGATCGTTGCAGTTGAAGGTTAGATCTTTAACAGCAATTACTTGTAATGTTTCTGCACGATATTATGAAGATAGTTAGGGGCTTGTTTGTGATCACCTTTATTTTTTGTTTTTAAATTTAAAATTTAATTTATTTTGTTTAGGTTTTGATTTAAACTAAATTATATTTGATTGAGATATTTTTTTTTAAATATTTCAAACATTTTTAAGGGTTTTTAGCGTTTTAAAAAACAAATTAATTTATTTTTTAGACCAAAAAATAAAAACATATAAAAATTAATTAAATATGTTTTAAAAATAAAAGAAGAAATAAAAAAGAAAGGAAACAAAAGTGATGATAAACAGACCATAATAACAACAGAAAACAAGCACTCTTTTCTAATTAGGACGTTCAGTATCATGTGTGTCTATTAGGAGGTAAATTGAGAGGTGCTTGCTCTTCCAACCACAGAAAGTTCTACTTGCAACTTTTTCACCAAATTTTTTTTTTTTTTTTTTTTTTTTTTTTTGCAATCGAAAGAAGTCAGGCAAAAGAATACAATAAACAAACTAGTGAACAATAGCAACTGTGATAATGCAAGACAAATTATTGGCGGTAAAGCATGCTGACAGGAGTAGATAAGAAACTATTATTTTCAATCACTGCCTTTTGCTTTATTTGCATCCGAAATATTAAAAACAACGCCAAATTTCATTATACCATTTCTATCATAATATACAACAAATAAACATGATATTTGGGTCTTCAAAAAGGACATGACATTAAACAAAAAGGGTCATTTAATGCATACCACTCAATTCCTACGAATTTACAATCTAACATCTAAACATTACTTTTTTATATTGATACCACCTAAATCATTTATATCAAATAAAAAATGCAGACTTTCAAAATGTTAAATACAGCTTTTCATACATAGGTAACTTTAGGTGTTAGATATGTAAATATGTAAGACTCAAGTGGCATGGATGTAAATCTTCCAAAAAAAATTTCTCTTCAACAGTTTTAAAAAATGTTAGCTTAATAAAATGCGCATTATTTTTGGCAAAGTTTGCATATTAAATAGAATTAATTTATTTGAGAATAAAACATTCCCTCAATCTTATCAGTAGGAGATCTTGAAAACAACTAATAAATGAAGTGTGGTTCGATAACTTCCAAAGCAAACCCACTCAAAGAAAAACTAATATATGTGACACAAAATTTACGGCGGTAGAGTAATTATTTAGCGTCTTAGTGTTGCACAAAACCTAACATATATTCAGGTAATTAAAGTGACTTGTGACTAAAGAAAACACATCAATCTTTTACGTGAAAAGTCCTAAAAAAAAGAAAAAATCATAAGGTCTAGCCCAATTGAAATAATCCACTAATTAATTTTTCAGTACATAGATTCACTCTTTTTTTTTTGAATTAGAGAAGATAGAGTTACAAATCTAATCAACATAGATGTAAAACAGTAGTTCATTAATTATAGTTATAATTTAGTAGTAATAAATGCAGTTCTTAACAGTAGTAGGTGATGGGGTCATAGTCAGTTGCTATGAAGACAGCATAACCCGTCTGTAATATTGTAGATGGTAGTTTTTGTGTCAGCTTATCGTAGAGACCGTAGTTAAAAGCCGCGGTGATAGTTGATTATGTGGGGTTGTAGATGATTATTTCATGATCGTCAGTTGACCACAGAAGCTGTAGTACAGAGATGAAAAAGTTAGTGGGTTATATAGACTATAGTGGTGAGTTGCAATAACGTCAGCAGACCACAGAGGTCTGAGTTGAGAGTTGTATGAATTTTTATAACATTTGTAGACCACAAATGTCAGAGTGGGAGCTGCATTAGTTGAGATAAAGTTTGTAGGCCGCAGAGACAGAAGTTGGGAGTTTCATGAACTATGACCTCATAGTTCGTAGTAGTGAGTTGCAACAAGAGAGCTTAAGGAGTCCGGAGAAAATCATCGTATCCTAAATGCAATGTTCGTAAGTAGTTATTGCATAGAGCATGGTTACACCATCCTCGGGATGAGTTGTAGCACCGTATGAAGGATGTGCGTTGCATGACTCCATAAGGTGTTTTGTTACTCTAAAACATGTGGGACTCCGAAGCACATGTGATTCTGTAAGAGATTTCGCAGCAAGGAGCATGTGTTGGCCGATGGTGGTGGATGACAGTTGAAGAACAGTGGTTGACGGTGGTGGGCAGTTGTAAGAACAGGCGGCGTTCGCTGGACTTCAGTATAACACGGGAATTCAACTCTTCTGAGCTCGGTCTCCTCGGGTTCCAGTTCTAGGTCCCTTCTAAAGAGCAGGTAAGGATCTATTTAGAGAGTCCAAGAGAGAACTCTATAAATAAGGTTGAAATTTGGATCATCGATCGGACGATATTCTGCAAATATTTGAGTGCCTCAATTATTTTGAATTTGAGTGATCTTAAGTTTGATGAATTTATCTTGTTGAGACACTATATTCAAGTACAAATTTGTTAGATTTGAAATACATTTGATAATTCAATTAAACACTAGAATCTTCCAAAAATGGCATAACAGCTCGATCTAAGCTTGATTTCACTCAGATTAGACCAACTTTGGTGTCATCGGGTCTGTCTCACTTAGTCGGATAGTTTGACTATATATTTGCTAAAATCAGAGTTCTAGATGTTTTTTAATTGGAGTTCGATCATTTCTTATTAAAAAATTTATCTTGAAATTTATGTCACGTCTCGAGATCCGTGTCGGATGATGAAAATTTGTTGATGTCATATCAAGGGTGATTTACATGCATATCACAAAATTCATATGTATTTACATATCAAACACCTAAACATTAATTTTTATATTTATAATACTCAAATCTTTTATATCACATAAAAAATATCACTATTGCAAAATTTTAAAAATTGAAACACACCTTTTTAAGTATTCTTCAAGTGATATAGGTGTAAAAATCAAACCTGGTGTTAGATACGTAAATACGTAAGAATTGTGAGGTATGAATGTAAATCTCCCAAACTGATAATGACAAAGGTCAAAACTCTATCCTACACATCATGATAAAAAGCTTTATAGGCAATTAATGACACATGACAAGGGAATAAGCCTATCACTGAATTTGTCATCTTGTAGATGGTCCACTTTCAAGAAATTACTTTCATTTTTATGAGATTGAGAGTCAAACAAGAGAATGGAAGTAAGACCCTCTTCTTTGCTTGCTTCAGATTGATTAGATTAATCCACAGCATAGAAAAAAATTACTTACAGATTGAGGCACAATCTTAAGATCGAGGAACTCCACGTCAATAATAAATTTTCCAGTAAAGAAGATGTCTATTGCCCAAATAAAATCATCACTGTTCTTCAATTGTTTGTCACAAACTCCTGCATAAATATAGCTTTAATTCAGCTCAGCTTGAAAGGTTTCCCTCTTATTTCCTATAATGAACAATGAATAAGAACTAAGCATTCATTACCAAATCAATAACAACTACATACACAATAAAATGATGAAAAATAAAATAAAAAAAACGAAATTGCAAAATGAAAAGAAGAGAACCTGGATGAACAAGGGTTTTGAGATTAGGAGCAGCGAAGGAGACAAGTTTGATGATGAAGGAAGCAATTGGAGGATGTTCCTTTGTCAAGCTAGATGGTTCGGGGTAAAGTTTCACAAAAAGTTGCTTGTTCCTTTCCACAGTTAGGTACCTAATCGTTTAAGAAAATAGTAAAAACAAAGTCGATCTATTAAGTCAATTAAAATAGAGAAAAACGCACAATTTCTTTCAGGAAGATTAAAAATGCAGTAATTCCAGAATTTATCCCTGCTTTTTGAGGATAAAAAAAAGCAACATGGTGCTTTTTTTCTTCAACAAGAACAGCATCTAATGGGAAAAATATTCCCAAAATGTGCTGGATGAACTACATATAGATTATTATAACCATAGAGTTTCAGCTCGTACTGCCAATCTATAAGAAATAGCTTATTAGATCTGAATTATAGCAAAAAAAAAAAAAAACAATTTCAAACGAAGAACAAAAGAATTCGTATGCTTTCATTGGCAGAAAACATTCGTTACAAAATAGAGGTCATGATTTGTAAGAAGAAATCCTTTCCCTTCTTCTAAGACACAAAACAGTAATAAATTAGATCCAAAGAATGAGAAGATTAGAAAGAACGTGAACCAATTCCAGAGGCCGATCTTGAAGGGATCGGACTTGCGATAGGAGAAAGATGAGAGGGTTTCGATCCGCCATTGTGCTAGCCGGGGCGTGGTCTCGACTCTGAACGCCGACTCGCTCATCCCTGATGAGGCAGTAGCTACAACGGCAGCCATCACTCAATTTATGCACTCCGAAATCCCCAGAAGCTCTCCGTCCACATCTCCCCTGCCTTCCTCGTAAGAAAATAACACAGGCAACCAAACCAGAAGAAGATTCAGACGGTTCTCCAGTTAGAAGCTCAGCACGCAATCTCTTCGGAAGATTCTTTTCGTGAATCACCAATAGGAAACAGGAAGGGAGGGAGAGCTAAGCTTTGCTTCGACTCCACTCCAGCCCAGTCCTAAGAGAGGAGAAAGAAGACTGAAAGAGGATGACCACTGACTCAGAGCTCTCCTTCATCAGATACGAATGCTTAGCGGCGCTACTGTTTTGGGAATAAAACCGATATTATAATAATATAATAATACACCATTATCTGAATAATACACAATAACATCTGAATAACACGAAGAGAATATTCACTTGTGTTACCGGATCAATCACATTCACGGAATAATTTCATTAGACTCCGCACATAACTCTACGTGCGGGATCCTAATGTAACCCTTCGGACAGCTACAAATAAAATAACTTGTGTTAAGGATTAGCTGGGTTACAATTTATTTTTCTTTTTTTTAAATTTATTTTCTTACAGTGGATAGCATTAATGGCGTATTTGAAGATAATTAAAAAATATTTTAATAAATCAAGAAAATAAAGTTTAGTTTGAAAATAAAGTTTTAGGCTACGGACTAGTTAGAATAAAGTTTACCAAAATTTAATTAAATTTTAAATTCAAAGCATTGTTGCGATTTGCGACCATGGGGAGTATATTTTTATTAAAAATATTTACAAAAAAATATTTTATTTAAACTTATTGTAAATATTTTTGCTAGTTTTTAACATTTTTTTTTGTAATTTGATTAATTATAAGAGAATTTATATGAATTACACCTAATTCTATTATAACTATATATTTATTTTCTAATTTTTTTTACTCGTATGACATGTTATAAAATTTGTGATAATAAAGTGAGAAATTACATCATAATTTTCAGAAAGATCTCACACATAAATGAATAAAATCGTACATTAATAATCAATTTTTTTTTACTTAAAAAAATAAGAACAAAAAAAAAAAACAACAACAACAACTGTATCCCACCAAACACAATATAACTCGGTGCTAATTGAGATTGTCAAGATACATTCTTCGTTTCAATTAGAGAAGACAATATTATAAATAGTACAACATTTACTCAATCTCATATGGTAGTTGTAAAAGTAGTAGACATTGATAATGGTTATATGATGATGATCTAAAACGATAATCACAAGATGACAATTGCACAATGGTGTCTAAGGAATAATCATTGAATAACAAAGGTTGAACAAAGATGGCAAGATAATGACGGTTGCTAATAGAGGTTCTAATTTGAGTCAATGGATCAGGTTTGAGTATGAATTGGATTTGGCCTCACTCCAACCCTACTCTTTTATTAAATGTGTTAGAAAGAATAAGGCAAGTCCAACTCTTCTTAACCTAATTGAACCAAGCTTGATTCAATTAACTTATTTAACATACTCTGGTTCATGTGGAGACATAAAGTAACATGCATTTTTTCTATCAAAATTGGGTTAAATTTGAATTGAGTTGAAATTTTGGGTCAAGTTTGGTTTGAATTTGACTCAAATTTGAGTTTACAGGTTAATTCGTATCCAAGCCAAGAAATTAAGAATGATAAATAATAAAGTGGGAAAATTTAAAACATAAAAATTTAGAAGTTTTATTTTGATGATATTGGTCCTCTCTTTTAACATACAGAAGTTTATAGTTAATTACATTTTATGAGAGATGACAACCTAAGAAAATTTTAGATTATAGTCGTGCCTTATGCACTAACATACTCTAAAATTTGAATTCAAACTGAAAAAGTCAAACTCTAACAGTTCATTTTTATGTCAAAAGAGAAGCCCTGAGGAGCACTGAATATTGGAAAACTCAATATTACTCTAAACTCTCTTATGTTGTGTTTTATAATTTAAAAATTGAGATTTATTTCATTTGAGTTTAATAAGAAATTTGAGACTTATGCTCTTATGACTCATGATCACAAAAAGGCTAAGAATATAAGAGCTTATGATGTAATAAAGACTTCTAATCTATCTCATGTCCCAAATTTTTGAATATTGGCTAGCTAGGACCAACATGCCCATAAAGAGACAATGTTATTAAAAATTATTAAATTATTATGCGTTAGTATTTAACTTATTGATTTTAGGGTACTTTTATAAAATTATATATATATATATATATATATAATGACTAATGAATCGTTCATGGTTGTATTTTTTTTACATGAAAGTGAATCTTTAAAATTTAAATAAAATAAACAATAGTTTGCAAACATATTTCTATAAACTCATCCTAATAACCATCATTAAATGATATTGATATCTAAAATACTTATATGTAATTCATTATTTATGGATTGTTATAATATACTATCATATTAATATCATTTCTCTTTAATTTATTATATGTATGTAGTGCACCTTATCATTTATATTTTTATTCAATGAGATTCACATATGTATTTCTTTTTTACAAACAAATAAAGATTATTTTTTTATCTAGTTTTTAATTGTGCATCATTTAATGGAGGGGGAGGGTTTCAGATCCACACTTCAACTATATCATTACATTGTTTAATGTTACAATTTTTTTAATTTATTTAATAATTAAATAATCTAATTTACTACTATTTAAAAAAAAAATGTTAGCATGAGTTACTAGATTTTGATGCTCGGATAATACTATTAGTCCAAAATACTATTTGAATTGTATATTTTTATTCTTAGAATATATATTTTTAATTTCTTAGCTTGCACTCTTCTGCTAGGTTCTTATAAATTTCTTTTTAGGTCGATGGGTACTCATTATATAATTGACATATGACTCGATGCAAATTAAATGAATGTTATCAAAGGGGGTCACTAATAGGATTTATTGATAAGAACACCTTTAGTTGTTAAAGTGGACAGTTTGAGAAGACTTTGACATCAGAGCAAGTGAGAGGAGGGTTTTGAGTTGCAACAAAGCAGTCTTTGGCCGAAAATTTATTAGTTAACAAAATATAGTGAATTAAGGAAGATTGCACCACTTGTAGATATAGATATTATATAAAAAAAAATTATTAGTATACACCAAATGTTGAAATCAATGGTTTATGTTGGGTAATGGTTATAATTGAGGAAAAATCAATTCATCAACTTCAATCTATCGTCCATATCACCTACTCCTTGAACTATGCTTTGTCATGATAGAAGGGTGGCCAAGAACCATATGAGTCATAAATCATATGAATGACTCAATCCTAGCCTAATCATTAATTTTGATAGCCCTAATGAGTGAGAGAACCAAATGTAGATCAAAATTAGGTCAAATTTGCTAATGGTCAAACCTATGACATACTTCAAAGCTTATTTGATAAGTGAGAACCACATTCTCAATGTATGTGTATTACTTCACCAATAGATTTGAGATTGTACTCAATACCTTTATGTGACTTAATAATTTCTCTGACAAATTTTTGACTTGGGATCCAACAAATGGGATCCCATTGTTGGAATCTCAATGTCCCATCCATGATATTTAATCAAATCTATTTAAAAATGTTATTTTGGTTGGCTATCAAGCATCTTTAACGTGGAACCTAGCCAAAAGATGATCAAGTAGCTAGATGTAGATGTTGAATACCAATGGTCAACAAATTTTGACTTATTATTATAATTAATGTTAAATATTGGTGAATATTGAATGCAAAGATATGGATATGATAGACATTTTGAGTTGAACATCTATGGATGTATTCCAATTATGAAGCTGAGTAGTGTTAGTTAGTGGATAACTAAAACATCTACATGCACCAAGTGATCATTTAGTGGCTATCGAAGTTATTAGATCTCCATATTTTACATGTGCTTTGTTCATGTGATCTATTGGTTCAAGGCACATTAAAATAATTAGAAATTAGGCCAATTATTAATTTCAAATTGGTTAATTTGATCCTTATCGAACATTATCTAATAATATTCATATTTTGGTATTAATAGATGTAGCCTATTTTATCCTCAGTTAATCAAAAAAAGGCTAAAAGATTCTACTCGCATGATGCCTTGATCAACTTGGTAAAACCATGGTTAGAAAATTGCTTGATTAACTGGTGATAATATCAGTTCAAGGTGGCGTAATGGGGGTTACTTATGAGAGTTTATGCTGAGTGAAATTTATGATCTTAAAACTCTTAAATGCTATGAGTATAGTTGAATTGCCAAATAAAAAAAAATGACAATCAAATAATCTAAAATAAAACTCAAAGGATATGGCATAATTTATCATCACTAAGAAAACTATAATGGTTAATTGAAATCATGGTATATATTTTTCATCAATATGAGAACATAACAACTTCATTGATGGCCTCCATCAATAATATAATCACGTGTGCTACAATAATTTGGATAAGATACATAAATCTAATTTCGGAATATCAATAAATGGTGATGAAACTTGACATTGTTTTGAGGTGAAAAGTCCTCCTTCTTTAAAACAATAAAATGTAATTAATGACTTACAATTTTATCTCTTATGGAGGTTGTAATACCCCCAAGAAGTATTTAATATTATAATTTTTCTCAATAATTGTGCACAAAAATATGAGTATTTTATAAGCTCAGTGTGAACTTGGATTTCTCATATCATAGGAAGTTGCATCTACCACATGAATGACTTGTGTGTTAGTTAAATGTTAGAAAGAAAAGAAATGGTCAACCCCCATTAAACTAGGTAGATCATTTTCATTCAAATTAATTTAATTTGTTAAAAAACCATGTTTGCTTAATGTCTGTGACTTTGTTATGATTGGATTTGTCTCACTGAGACAATCAACTATAAATTTGTTAAAATTATCTTCCAAATTACTTTTGATAAATAATTCAATTTTGAGCAATTTTTTATCCAAAAAAGTGTGTGAAGGTTCATGCATGATTGAATCGTTGTTATGAGTCCTACAATTTATCCCCAATTTTAAATTTATGAAAATCTAAAATTCCTCATATCTAAGTTTTTATTAAATGAGAAATTATTAATTTTGAGAAATTTCAATGTGTGAATATTCCCTAGACATTAATTTAGAATTTCAATTAATTTAGTGTATTAAGATTTACTTTTGTTTATATAATGCGTGGAGTGCATGAGTATTGGGTATTATGACACATTCATTTATGAAACTTCTTGAGAAATTAAGCTTAAATTTTCTTAAAATTATCTTAAATGCCCTAAAATTTGTTATAATTTGAATAAGATAGATT